AGAGATCAACCTTCTTCCTTTCTTCCTCTCTTCTTAAACAATAGTTATCAGTGATAAATTTATATGCATTGATGATTTATTTCAAGCTGTATTAGTGATTTCAAACGAAAAGTTAACTCCCTTTATACATTACTTTATATATTACCATAACCATAAAACTAAGCCAGTTTGTTGAAATAATCCAGAATATCTGTTCCTATATCTGCAAATAAATAATGTTTGTCCGCTAGTCTTTGTCTCTTGAATTCTATTTTGAGCTTCTGTCTAGCGCCAGAAGTTACGAATTGTCAAAATCGCGTAAACTACTTATCGGCATACTCTATGATCCCTAATCAAAAAATAAACAATTCAACTCAATAATAAATTGTCTTCTGTAGCAACATATTTTAATAATCACTGCTACAGTCATAGCTTTATTTCATGAAGGGATCTGCAGAAGTCAAGTTACAGTCAATTTTATAATCAGAACTTTCAGTGAATCTAAATTTTTATTCTACAATTATACATCGTGGTGAACAGCTATCCGACGAATTTTATTGATTTAAACAAAAGAAAAACTTATGAATTCAACTTTTTTTTGGATTAGTCCAAATTCATATAAACAGACAAAATTTTAATATAATTATATCCTCTTCTGAAGCATTTTCTCCAACAAATCATTTTTTCTATACTGAATAAACAGTGCCGAATTACAGTTAATCTTTTACCAGTTATTCTTACCACCTCCTTCATCATCACAATCATCGCTACCATTACCATTGACATTTTCATTACCATTAACATTCCTATTATCATCGTCATCATTATAATTAATATCATCGTTACAAACTCTCTGCTCTTCCTTTCCGTCGCTTTTTTCAAACAAAGTATGTGGCAATTTTAAGCAAGCATCAAAGTGTAATGTCTTAACAAAAAGCTCTTCTGTCAAAAGTTGTTGTGAACAACAACATATAATAAATTGTTTCGATGTTCTCTCTCGCAAGAGACGAGACAGAACATCGAAACAATCTATTATATGAAATCGGTCTCTCTTTTACTCCTTTTTCAACCACCAATTCATCTTGTAAGTTTGAAGCTACTGGAAGAACTTGTTTTACTACAGAAATGTGCTAAATGAGTAATTGACAGGTTGCAAATGAAATTTAAGCAAATGCGATCCGTTTGAGTTCGATATGTCTTTTTTCTCTCCTTTATCTCCATTAAAACATTACCATCTAACCGAAGTGGATACGCTTTTTGATCATAATCTGGTAAATCTTCAATATCAACAAAACAAAACATTCGAACAACGTCCTTTTCTTTTTTCTACTCCGATTTTCTCATTTTTAACAGTGGCTTTATTCAATGTCAAAATACTAAATTTCCACACTGTATTTTAAATTCCCAATGTCAATTAAAGAAAATTTTCCTGTGAAGAAAGAATTTAGCATTTTAGCCTCTAACAGCATATATCCCTTCTTTCCTGAATGTGACAGATATATTTAATGTTCCATCAAAGTATATTTGTCACATTCAGGAAAAGAAATTGGATAGATCAATATTTGATTATAAAGATAATTATACGGAAAAGAAAAAGAAAAAACCATGACAGTTGCCAAATAAAAACTAATGTTAAGGTGATAAAGCAATGCTAACATTTACCTGGTCAATTTGTAATATGTAATATCTAAGAAAGTATATAAATAAAAAATTATTCAGGAAGGAAGGAGACGAGGAAAGTCAGAAACCAACTTCTTACGTAGTTAAAGTTAAATGCAGCATGTAACAGGACACAAGCTTAATAAGTATGAAGATAAAATAAAAGAACAGTTGTTCTAGAAGACAAAAACTGAATTATCATTTGAGAATTTTAATTGCAAAACAAGCAGTAATTTTCCTTTCAACGATTGTCTCAGAAATGAATTTTATTTTGAAAAACAAGAAAGCGAGAGAAAGAAACAGAAAGAAACCTCAATAAAATATGAACATATGATTAATGACATCCACAAATATTAACAAGATATGACCGATCTTCCTCTCTTTACTATAATACTCCATTATTGTTTTTTGTCGTTTTCACACTGCACAAACTTGATGAATTGCTTAAACAAGAAACTTCTGTAATTTTGAGTGTTTTGGAGTGCGATGTCTATATTTCTAAGCAATCGAAACTATAAAACTGATTTTCAATAAGAAAGTGACATAAAATTGTCGAAATAAATGATACGCGTAAATCGTACGTATTCCGAAATCAGTTTTGATGAATTAAGGAAGAGCGGAAATGGAAGAAACAGATCGATGGAACAATTAAAGTTAAAATGATGCAACTAGTATATGCATTTATACTGGCAGCAGCGGACGCAATAATTGTAGGAAACTAATCTTTGACCTCAACTTGCACATAAATTAAATTTGATATCTTACTCCTGTTTTATATGCTAATATTATTAACATCAATCATTCCGATTCATTAATGACAAAGCATTCATTGGTTTAGTACTATCAGTAAAAAGCATGCTGCTTTCGGTCTCAAATTGCATGTTATATAACTGAACTTAGTTTTTCTTTGCTCTAAATGTCACTACTACTAATATCTGTCGTTTTGTTTTTACTCCAGTTATTTCAATTAAGATGAATAAGCTACTAATAAGTATATTGGGAGAAATCGGTACAAGAAGTGATCTGAAAAAACAGTTACTGATTACAAATAAAATGTTATACCACTGCAAAAAAATGGAAAAATCTTGTACTCAATTATGAGCTGTCTATAATTTGTTGTGTTGTTTTTTTATAAATTCATTTACCTGATAGAGTGACTCGATAATTTTATTCGTGATCAGTGGATCCTGACATCGGTAACCTTCATAATATTGTAATTGAAATGGTAACTTTTCAATCTCATCACCATCCAAATTATCATTTACATCAGCTAACGGTTTCAACAGTGTACTCAAAAATTCATCATTTTTGTCCAGAAGTATCGGGTGACAACCTGAAACATAAAACTTATTCCAATTTAAAACTAAACTCTGAAAAAAAAAAGTGAAAGGGAGAAACGATCAGAATTAATCGTTTAAGCATGAAAAAATAATAGAAAAAACTCCTTTTCTTAACTGATGGCAGATTGCAATGGTTGCAATAAAAGGATAAAAACTAAAAAATTTTTGTTCTGCGATTTAAAGCTAATTTGAAAACATCAATCCTATTATAACTTCACCAATTATGCAAATCGTAAGGTCACGTTAGACTATTCTTAGAACTTGACATCAATTGTTAGAAAAATCTTTTGCATTTATAATAGTTGCTTACTACAAGTACAAGTTGTTCAACAATTTGCTGTCGTCATATTTTATCATTACTCATTGGTAACAAGCGTACAGTAAAAAAAGAAAGATGAAAATTATATCATATTCTCGATTTTCTCACTGATAAGTGAAAAATCTCAATTGTATTAAAAAGTGATTGCTATAAACATATTTTTCATTTGTAATGTCATCAATTATTTGTTTTCCTTTTAACTTCGAACTCAGATGTTGCTAACTTCAGCAAATTAACAATAGAAATTCTAAAGAAAGAAAAAAAAAATGCAAACAAAAAGGATAATGAAAAGCAGATTTTATGAAAGATGTATATACAAACATATATGTGCTTTTTATACACTTCAGTTGCATTTATCAATGATAATAACTATCAATGGAAAATGAGCAGTAATAAAAAACTTTGGAATTGGGCAACGATTTAATGCTATGAGCGCTTTTCAAGAGAATGACGATGATGATGGATAAATGACATCAAGTAACAATTATAGATTAATAAATATTTTAATAAACAAGCTAACCTAGGTAAAGGATGTTACAATAGCTGTTGTTTGCTATATTGTACCTATTATTAATATTATTACTCATATCGATGCTGTTATTGCTGTTATCATCCATACCATGACATTATTCTTACCAAGATTATAGTGACACGAAGAGATGGCACTTATGGAATTGGATTTCTCAAAGCATTACGTTTATACAATTGAATTATAAAGGAAAAAACCAGATCAATGCCTGTGTCATTAAGCAGCATTCAAAAATTTGTCCTTTGTCACTAAAGCAAAACTGTAAATGTTCTTTTATTCAATTAAAGAAATTAGCAAATCTATTGGTAATGTAACATGCATTACATCTTAAGATTCATAATAATAAAAGAACTGTCAACAATGCATCTATTTTCAAGTATGGAAGTAGGTATAATTACATCAGTAACATATAAAAACATATAGTAACAGATCATCGAATTCAAAAAGTAATTAATATCATAACAAGCTCAAGTATTCTGATTATAAGTGATGATTTAAATCTCTGATCTATAGAGTTTAAAAAGCAAGCCAGGAAGTTTTCAGTTAAACCCGAAGATGAGCAGCAAGCAGAAGTTTAACTATTTAAACAATTATTCCAATTTCGTACGTGGACAAATATTAGCAATAACATAATAGGCTGTTATACGCATTCTTCTGTTATCCTTGCACTTAACTGCAAAGGACAAATTTTAGAATACTGCATAATGATATAAGCATTGGCTCTTTGCTTTCATTCTACTAGCATGTTGTTTTTAGAAATTCAATTTTTACGGGCTTTACCAAATAGACACAACTAATAAAAAT